GTTTGTTAGTTTTTGAATCAAATACTAAGTGTTGGTTTGTGCTGAAGGTAACTACAAGTATCATAAGATAATTTTTGTATAATTTGGGGTGTGTGACATTGTGACTATGTAAATAGACTTTTGTCACATTAAAAAGCTCAATGTTAAATCCTATATGCCATTGCATACAAACTTGGATGGGGGAATAAATGGTTGTTTAAAAAAAGCCTCCCAAGTCAAGCATAGATTTTGGAGAAGAAAGGTATATTTACTATAGAGAATGTACAGCGAATTTGCCTATAGTCCAGTGGTTCTCAAAGTGTGGCGCGGGTCATCAGCAGAAAAAGAAAAGAAATAAAACAGTAAACAGCCAAAGGATGTAACTTAGAATGGAAGATGGATCGTTTGTGAAAGGGAAAAGAAAAGCCATAGATGAAGTCGCACAGACCCAGGCAGGTGCTGGTCATTTAAAAGCTAAATGCAGAAAATATGACAAGGCATATCTTGCTCTCGACTTCACTCACTGTGTCTATACTGGACACTACAGTTGTCGCGTCGCACCGCAAGTCTACACAGGACGCGACAAATCGATCGTTGCAAATAATTTTAACTTTGTGTCAGTACGTCATAAATAGAACAAGACATCAGTTTAATGTCGGGGCTTTGTCGTGTCGCTTCGCATCCAGTGTACACAGCGTCACTGATTATAATGGTTCTACTGTATTTTGCAGCTCGCGTCCGGTGTAGACACGGTGTTTAATGTCGTTGGTGAGGAGGAAAGCCTGTGTGTGTCCTATGCCTTAGCGGACAGCAAGAAACCCACAAAAAATAAATAAATAACAGAGTATAATAATAACAATAACAGTTATTCTCTCTATGTTATTTTTCAATGTTTCAGGTAATGCAGGTGTTTTTTCCCTGTAGGTTTTTTTAATTAAAAAAGCATTAATTTTTCATAATGTTTAGTGAAATTATTTGGTAGTCTGAGGTGGGATGGGGATGGGGATGGGGGTGGGGGGGGTGCCAGATGTTTTTATAGGTTTAAAGGGGGTCGCGACCAAAAAAGTTTGAGAACAACTGCTATAGTCAAAAGCACAGCTCACGCAAAAGTCAGTTTCAAACCGAGAAGTTTTCTGTTGCTCAATGTGGCAAATTCATGTTGCCATCTTGAACCTGTTGCAAAACCTACGTGTGAAAATCTTTTGCACTTACACTAGATTTTGAATGCATGGATTCCGATTGAAACGACTGGATTTCGTTGAATAGTGGTAAATGTGAATCTCTTTCCCATTTCTGTGTTAGCTTCTTTTTAAAGCTCAGTTGGGATATTTTTTTTTGTTCCTGATGCATTGTCATTTCCTTATGGCCACATAGACATTTTGTCTAATAATTGTTTTTGAAAACAAAAAAGCAATTTCCGACAGTTTCCATATTTTTTTTTTAGTGACTACACCAAATATGGTAGTGTTTATGTAGTAATTCATCCCTCAGGTCTCTCACAACTGCACAGAACTGTAAACCATTCCCTTCTGTGTCCATGTGCTGGGTCATGTGGTCTGGCAGGGTTGTCTGGTGTGAATCAAAGCCTCATAGATGACAGACAAGAGTGTTGGACGTACTGTACCAACACAGTAAAATTCTCTGATGTACAATTTACAATGCCAACACTAAAAAGTTAACTTTTAAACGTAGTTTATCTTGGTCAAGGGGCCAGGCCAGAAAGATATTCCCTTAAATGCACTGGTAAACATTAGCAGAGGCCTCCTTTGAGCCAGGTCAGGGAACCCTGCCATAAGTCAGCCATTCTCATATATATGAGGCGGAAAGTGACAACCACCGCGCGTCTGCCCACACGAGTGCCTGCTGGAGATCTGAAAGTGAGCAGGAGAGATTAACCAATATGTAACTTGATAGGCTTTCTTGATACCCCCCCCCCCCTCACTCTCCTCTGATCACTAACCACGGCCACATGTGGAAAACCTGACCAAACATAAAAATGAGGTGGAAATCTGTACATGAGCTTCTTGTAAGTATCTCCATATGGCCAGTTTGTGTGTACTCAGCAGGAAGGGCGATGAATAAGAGCCCCGCTCATGGCTAACCCCAGGTGGATCATATATAAATAATAGCGCTGCCTTGACAAGTAGGCTTAGCATTGGCTCTCGGCATTTAGTCTTTGAATCTCACCATTGCTTGTTATTTGCTCTAACGTGTGAATAAGTTACCTGATGGTTGTCAGCTATCATTCAAAAAAGATTTAAGATGAATATTTTTGAATTGCATATAAAACTTCCATCCATTTGGATTACACAGTTTTACAAACTAATAAACTTAATGTGATGCATATTTGTCAGTCATGCATAAATTAAAGAAGTAAGATTTCTGTAATAGTACTAATAAACTAAATGTGTTTTAACTGTACAACAACCAGGTTTAAATATTTATAATCAATAAATCAATTTTTCTTTACTTGAACTAATTGAATGTTGCATGTTCTACAGCTAGCCATAACCATGTTCTGGATTTTGTAATGGAATATATTTAATTGATTTCACACTGAACAAATTTATAGTGATTCTAAACTAATTTATGTGGATTCTAATGTATTCAAATTTAAATAAATGCAATTTGAAAATATGATTGTTTAAAAACAAATCAAATGTATGCAAATAGTTAATAATGTCATGTCATGACGTTTTTGAGTGTACCTGTTTCTAACCAGTTTAACTGATGTATGACGGACAAATAATCATCACATTAATTTTATGTTAATACTGTGTAATCCAAATGGATGGAAGTCAAATACATAAATATTTTAAGCAGTTCAACCAAAAATTAAAAAATCTACTGAAATTTACTCACCCTCAAGCCATCCAAGATGTAGATGAGTTTGTTTCTTTGGATAAATTTATGCTGCAGCATTACAATATTTGCACACCAATGGAGCCCTTGCAATTATTGATAATCTAAACAGCTGATAAAAATCATCACAATAATCCACAAGTAATGTACACAACTCCATTCCTGAGGAAACAAACTCATCTACATCTCAGATGGTCTTAGAATAAGTACATTTTCAGCAAAGTTTTCCATTGAAATATTACTTTAATTTAGGTCTAAATATTTTTAGAGTGTATCTAATAAGATCACAAGGTATTTGCTGCAATAATTTTACACATTATGAAACACAGGGCAAACAGTTGAGTAGTCTTTTCAGCACAAAAACTGACCAGAGATCCATTTAAGTAGACGCTCAATGTGCTGAAATAGGGCTGCGCCAGAAACTGTAAACAGAATTTAATTTATGAGAGATGTTTGTGTGCATTTTCTAGTAATCTTGGCAGCAGTAGTCTATCAAATGATGATTAAACAATAGAGAAGAGTTATAACCAGCATAACCAGTATATATAAAGACATTACATTTTCTGCATCGTAGCAGTGGAGTGATGCTGTACAGTCCCTCTAAAATATGCCTGATGGCAGTCTGCTGCATCCTTCACAGCTTACTTCAGATAAAGAATGCTTAGGAGGAGTGCTTTTTTACCTGATTTACATAAATTATTGTGTGAATCGGGTGCTAAAACAATGCAGAAAGCATGTACAAATAAACATCATCAAGCCCAAATCATTCCGCCACACAGTATTTGTTCCCTATCAGTGTGGCCTTTAGTTTCGGTTGCCACATATCTAAAGTGACGGCCATTTGGATTGTGACTTTTGCAGTTTGTTGTTTAAGATCACTTCCATTTTGTCTGCTTTACTAACAACAGAGCATATAAATCAGTGTCTAGGGAGCTTTCTTGCACTCTCTCTACTCAAGCCCCCTGGTCGCTGCTGGAAAAGTGAGCTAATGAAGAAAATCATGTCCATATGGTATATGCCAAAAGCATATGCCAGAAGTACCCTTTAAAACACAACACTTTCTTTTTTAAGTGGAGGGCAATTTTCTGAATGCATGCCTTGGGCAAACTGTGCTACTTACGTACAGTACTTACCATGAGGGCCAGAATAATGAAAAATGTATGAGGTTTTTTGACATTGCTTCATTCCCTAAATTTGACTAAGCTGCTTCCCTCAGATTCTGACAGGGTTGGTGACTTTAAGGGACTAAAGGACTAAACGTTTTCCAGGGTTTGAGCTAAAGGTGGGGGGCTGAGAGGTCCTGAACCACTGTAAGAATTAAGGGATCTACTATAAGTCTTTATTTATTGCCCTGACATTTATTTTTTCTTTTCGGCACTCATTCTTTCCAAGTTTCTGTCTGAAGTGTATAAAGGTGCCTAAGTGCACAATACATAGTTTTATGAGGCATTTACAGATGGGACTGCCACTGTGGATTCATCACTGCTTTCATTTCAAGTTACGTGTTTATACACGTACTGGCATAGATATGCAATTTTACCTGATCTAATTTTTACCTGAAATAATTTGAGCAAAATGTGTCACTACATAGAAGAAAAAAAAACTTTTAGGCTTCCAAAATGCCTGACAATAAAATTTCCACTAAGGGAAAAGTTGTTTGAAGATGGATCAGTTTTGACAGATGTTTTCTTTAATCGGCGGATTGTCTTTGATTTAATTAACTTATGTCGCTTACATCACTGAGGTTCGAATAAATTATCGTTTTATAATTTGATTTAAATCTTAATGCTGTTCATAACTGGGGGAGTTACTCATTTTACCTGCCAAAGTCAATTTTTACTCACATTGGCACTTTGTGAGTGTTAATTTGGGACCCTGATAGCAGCTATTGGACTGGTCATGGTCATGTGCTTCTAAAACAGTCTGGTACATGAGTATTCATTTCACTGACTCTTTTTCTCTCTGTACATCTAATTCTCTTTTATGCCCCTCTCCTTTCCTTTCTTGTCTTTTTATTGGCCTTTTATTGTTCGGAAAAAAGAAAAAAAACAATATTGTGGTTCAAGGCTTGTGACCCAGCTTAAGTCTCCTGCAGTGATTGTACAGTAACTATGGAGGAGACAGCGCACAAATACAAGTGAACATGTGTTGTTTTGTAGGGTCCCCCTGGTCCGCATGGAAACCCTGGCCGCCCAGGGACCCCCGGACCCAAGGTACGTACCACTGAATACAGATTTGTAATGCTTTTGTGGATGCTAACAAACTAGTTTGTTGGAACTGTGAGGCCCCTTTTGGTTATGCTTTATTTTGATAGTCCACTTTAGACATTCTACTAACTATAAGTAACTTTGCAACTACATGTCAACTAATTCACAACTACATGTCTACTAACTCTCAGAGTAGACTGTTAGGTTAGGTTTAGGGTTAGTAGAGTAAGTTGACATATACTTGCAAACATAGTCTCATAGTCAGTATGTTTTATGTTGTGGACCCATCAAAATGAAGTGTTAGAAGATATTAAGCAGACAGTCTACTAATATACTATTGACTGCTAGTTGACATGTAGTTGCAAAGTTACTTACTGTTAGTTGAATGTCTAAAGTGGACAATCAAAATAAAGCATTAACCCCACTTTTGTCTGTTCTTGTTTAGTTTTGTTTGTTTTTTGTTTTACGAAGCAATTTGTGATGACATTGATCAGTATGTTTGGACATACCATAACAAAAACCCGTGCCTGTAAGATTCAAGTCTTGAACTTATTAGTGAATTCCTGAAACTCAAAGGGGATCATTAAACATATGCATGAGCTTTGATCTACTCAGTGGCTTCTAATTATGAGCCATATGCACTTTAAGTAGCATTTTAATAGGTGATTGTGTATTTTTACAACAGTGATATCACAAGGTAGACTATGTCAGTAGACTACAGTACTACCATAAAAAAACACTACTACTTTGGGACCAATAGAAAACCAGTAACTCTACCATCTACGTTTAGCTGTTGTAAATTAAAAGAGAAACAATAAAACATGAGTAGCTGAATTCTGATGAACGTTGGCAAGAAATATGGGTGAAGTACGAGTTTGACGACATCATTGGACCTGTTTATTTCCATTCACACTTTTCACAGTTGTTCATTTGACCACATCTGGCTGCTTGTGGAAGTCTTACAATAGACCAGGAGAGCAAAGATCTTTCTTTGCCATATGAAGGCGAGTCCAAATTAAAAATTCCCATTACTTACTGTTACTGCCAGTTGGGACAAGGATGAGACAAATAGAAAGAGGGAAGAGCAAAATGAGAGAGACAGACACACAAAACGGACACATCGATGCAGTTTGTTTGTTGTTGGCTTCCTAGCAGTCGTTTCTCTCTATAAATGTATTCAAATAGCAATTATTTGGTAGTTCATTGAGCGGTAAACCATCAAATGATGGATAAGAGCATTATAACTGGCATGTATCCAGAGACACATGGTGTAGACAAGCACACTTTTGGCTTTCAAGAGCCAATTTTGGTGTCTGAATTGCAGTGTTGGAGTGAAGTTGTACATTCACTGCAAAGTACAAGCCTGGTGAATTCTTCACAACCAAGCTCAAAACCTACAAGATTATGCCATGCAAATTGCATTCGGCACAGATTTATGGGCATGTTTGCACTCTTACCTGATTTACATAATTACTTTGGTGAAACAGCCCAAAAACAATGCCGGAAGCATTGTCAAACAAAAAACAGCAGATTAACTGCTTAGATTGATTAGAGGAAAAAATATGCTAGCACTTGTACATGTGTTTGAATCATAACCATAACGCATGGCTTCATCCCATTGCCTGAAAAGGCAGAAGAATGTAGTGTGTGAACCCCAGTGTCATTGCAGAGGCTTACTGTAAACTTATTCTCACTAGCGTACACGTGTCACTCTCTTGTGTAAACAACACTCCTTTCCTTTGCAAGCCTGCATTACTCCATGGAGACTATATAGAAAAATTAGGAGAGGAATTCTGTTACAGTGTTCTGTTTGGAATGGATTTTAGAGCAGGGGTCACAATAACTCCCCAGTAACCTCCTCATTTCCTGTGCGATGTATACATGGTTCAAAACAACAGTGAGTGGTGTGTCACTGTATGTTGTTTGAAAAGTCTTTTCATTTAAAAGCCTTTTAGGCTGGTATACTCCATTTAACTTTTATGAAAGCTTTGTATAATCTAAATACACCTCATTCTAATATTTAAATTTTTTCCATGAGTGGTAGTTTAGATCAGTTATTTGTCTTCTGGGTGTTACAGGGGAAAAAGGGAGACCCTGGAATCTCACCTGGTAGAGCACCAAATGGAATAAAGGTATGTGTTTTAAAGTATGGAATAATGGAATAAAGAACTGAAACAAATAGAATAAAGTATATTGTGCACTAGCAAACTTTTTTTTCATGCTTAAAATAATGCAAGTTCTTGCATTCATCAACACACTGATTCTTGAAAATAAAAACAAAAAATAGCAGTGGGTAAGTTTATAGGACATGTTAAAGAAAAACTGAAATATTAAAAAAAAAACTATTTAAATTAACTGTTTTTTATATATTTATTTATTTTAAAATGTAATTCATTCCTGTGTTGGCAAAGCTGAGTTTTCAGTCATTATTCCAGTCTTCAGTGTCACATGATCATTCAGAAACCATTTTAATATGCTGATTTGCTCAGTTGTGCTGTTTAATATTTTTGTGGAAACCATGATTAATAAGCCTGAAGGACTTAATTAGCTGGATCAGGTCTGTTTAATTAGAGTTGTGAAAGTAGAGTTTAGGGCTGTGGCCCTCCAGGAACTGAGTTTTGCACCCCTACCTTAAGGCCTGGGACACACTAGACTATTTTCAAATCTTAACCGATTTTAAAATGGTGGAGACCACCACAGTTTTAACTGACTTTTAACATTATAATCCTCCTGCCAATTATAGTATAATTTTCATAGTGAGACGAGATCTCACGTAGACTTGCGAGATCAAACATGACTTGCGAAGAAATTAGAATAACATAGTAGCAAACAAGTAGCATATACTTCGCTATATACGTGTACCAGAATAGTATGTGCATACTGTACGCACATCATCCGATTTTTGGACAACACTAGCCTGGGCCATTTTTTCACAGTAGAAAACGAAACAAAAGAGACTGAACAACAACAAAACAACTAAATAACGGAGACTCTTATAACAGACGGCTGCATTGACAAGCGCTTGTGTGAGAGGGTTATGAGATAGCGGCATCTTTAGTTTAAAGGAGTACAAAGACAATTTTATCAATCATAACTTCTGGAGAAAATAGAGCAGACGCTGGATAAAGATGAAGCTTTCTAGAGCACATGTGATGACCACCTGCGTTCATGCAGGCAATCAAATGGAGTATACTTTGAAAAGGTTGCACGTTCGACTATACGCATACGTTAGCGTGCACTTAAAAAAACTGAAGTATACTTTGGACTTAAGTTACAATGTGTGGTGTCTCTGAATATGTTAGCACTGCCAAATGTACCATATCAGGAGTAATTTTCAGTGTTTTCCTTTTTAGGGGGACCCTGGGATATTAGGGCTACCCGGACTACCCGGTCAAGCTGGTCGGAAGGTAAGAGACATTCTTTGATTCTAGGGAGACTCCACCAATGTCACGTCACAGAACGGATCTAAGCATAGTTCCCAACCCAGATGTTTGGAAATGTTCAGCGCACTTAATTTTCAACAGCATAGCATCATGTTTATCCAGGAAACATTATTGCTTTATCAGCCCTATGCTAAAGTAATCCCTCACATACAGTCATACCACGGTTTATTCTGGATGGCGAGACATCAGTCTAACTCAGCAAATGCGAAACAGGTTCTTGTGTCGAATTCCTCCTACAATCAGTTGCGTGAAATCCCATTGGAAAAGGTTCTTGTAGTAGACCTCACGGAAGCTTAGAGCATTTCCCCTGCTTTTCTAGAAAGAAACCCAATTTGTTTCAGACATGTCCACCTGACCTTGATGTCCTGGATGCCGCTGTGAATGGGATAGCCAGCGCATGACCTCATTGTAGTCCAATTCCAAGGGATGTCTGTGGAAAATTCCTTTTAAAATGATGTGGTTTACCTCCATGTAGTGTGTGTATATTATTTTGAAATGTTTTTTACCTAACAGGACCAAATAGGTGTCATTATAGTACAACAGAAGAGGTAATGGATTCCAAATCAAATGAACAGACAGCACTTTGGCCAGGGCAGAAGTCCTGCTTCAAAACAGTCATATTTCCAGTGAACATATACACTGTCTACACCGCTGAGATGAAATTGGCTCTGCCAGGTCCCTCTACTAACACTTTCAGACAGCCATTTGCAATTGCAGAGACGCCCATATTCACTTTCTCCAAAGGGGAAAATTTGCTATTAAGCTTTTAGAAAACCTTCACAGATGGCATTTTCAATTGTGTTTGTGAATTTGGCATTCAGTACTTTGGCATTCTAAGAAGTAATTTTATGTGCTGTTGAGTAGCACACGCAGTCACACAACACACACAAAGAGACCCATACATGTGCGTCATAATACATCATCAGTTTTACATATATTCATAATCAATGGTGTTTGTTTGAACGTTTGGATCAAAACGACTCCCTGAAACATTGTAAAGTAATGGAATTACCTGGCATTTTCTTTTTCTCCATGTGTTTCCAATCACACAGCCACAGATATAAAACAAAATATTAAAAGCTGGTGGAAAATAGTTGCAGACACTACTTGTGCTAAATTACTGCTGGCAACGAACCATAAAGTTATTCCATCCATGGGCCGTGGCCAAAGAGAAAATCTTGTAACAATAAAACAAATGAAAAATGTAATGCTCAAATGTACCGTAAAGTAACACATGTATAGTAAGTAGAAGTGACACATTTGGTCATATGTGCAGGTAATGATCGATTGGGATTGAGTTATGCTTTTAATTTCAAAATATTGAGCCATGTACAGTCTTTCAATCGTTTCACACTCGCGCTCTGGGGATCAGCAGATGTGGACTCTGGCACAGCTGGACGGTGTGCTGTAATAGGATGAGCGTGGGCTACTAATGTCTGCTTGGAGATTGTAATGCTCCACCCCTTCTCTTTCTCAGTGAGATTCACTGGGACCCTTTTGGCAATGATCGTTTATACACTATATTTGTCATTTAGTTTGTGTAACTGTTTTATAGACCCAAGATGTGAATGGTGAACCGTTGCACGGCATGTATATGTTAGTATTTTTTCTGTGATGTGTCCTGAAGTGATTTCTGTAGAGCTGACTCCACATCATTCGTCATTACAAGCTCCAGATTCCTTTCTTCTTACTCATATTCCCACACTCAGCTGCTCTGTGCTCAATTGCTTATCTAAGTTCTCAGACATAGTTGAACCAGTTTTTGTGTTTTCAAAGCAAAAGCATCTAAGGCAAGCATCACAATCCGTGTATCATTCGATCATTCGTTTTTTTCTTTAATATTGAAAGTAGAAAAATGAGAAAACTGCTCCTTTTTCGTTTTTTTTCATTTTTTCGTTTTTTGCCAAGAAACGAGAATTCAGCTTAAATTTTCGTTTTTCGTTCATGGGTGGAAAAATGAATAAACAGCTTGAATATTCGATTTCTACACGTAGGCGGGAATTAAACACCCCTTTCTGCTGATTGGCCAGCCGACGATCAAACCGTGCCGTCATCAGTTCTTCTGCAGCAAAATAATAGTCCTCCACTGCTGCAGTTGTATGGATTTTTAACGCATTTATTGCAACTACATTTAATCTTTTTTTCATCAAACAAACAGTCAAATGAATAGCTCGAAACAACTCGTACCGGGGCATTGTCTAGACAGGGCTTTCTTCTTTGTAGATATAAATTCTATTCTTTGCATCAGCTGAGCATCTTTCTGGTGCATGCCACAAACATGAACCACAGGGAATACTCGTCTTTTAAAAGGCTTAATTTAGATTATTTTACATTAAATGCATCATATAAATCACTTTGGAATAAATCACAGTAGGCCTATGTATCATGATAAAAAAAAACGACTTTACAGTCTGGAAATACTTTAGGCTATTGCAATAATACGGCTATATTATAACTGCTGGTCTACACAGAAGAAAGACCTGTCTAGACTCTGCCCCGGTACGAGTTGTGTTGAGCTATTCATTAGTCTGTTTGATGAGAAAAATATGAAATTGATCAAATGGGTTATTAATCCGTACAACTGCAGCAGCAGAGGACTATTATTCTGCTGCGTGATACTGCAGAAGAACTGATGATGGCACGGTTTGATCTTCGGCTGACCAATAAGCAGAAAGGGGCGTTTAATTCCCGCCCACATGTAGAAATTGAATATTCAAGCTGTTTATTCATTTTTCCACCCATGAACGAAAAACGTAAATTTAAGCTGAATTCTCGTTTTTCAGGAAAAAAAATGAAAAAATTAAAAAGGAGTCATTTTCTAATTTTTCTACTTTCAATATTAAATCAAAAAACGAATGATCGAATGATACACGGATTCATCACAATCAGGGTATCTTCCGATCATTCGTTTTTGAATTTAATATTGAAATCTGAAAAATGAAAAAATTGTACATTTTTCGTTTTCCATTTGTTCAAACAAAACGAAAAATCAAGAATTTGGCTTTTTTTTTTTCGTTTTTACGTCCAGGGATAGAAAACGAATTTCTACTCTTTGCCATATGAAGGCGAGTCCAAATTAAAAATTCCCATTACTTACTGTTACTGCCAGTTTACAGTAACAGTTCTATTGTTACTATATATGCTCTAGTGGTATTTGTAATTGTTAGTTAACTAATAGTTAAATAATGTTAACAAATGGAACCCTTACCATTACATTTTTGTGATGAATGTAAATTACCTTTTTTTTTAATAATAGTGTATAAATACTTTTCTTTATGATCAGACACAGATTTTGCCATGCAGGCTGTAAAACAGGCAAAAAAACATTTTTTTCTGGTTTGCTGGATTTAAAGAGTTTTTGGACAACTCTGTAGACCCCAGCTACAGTATATCAACTAAAGACCAGCTAAGTCTGGCTTGGAGGCTGGTTTTAGCTGTCTCTTTTAAACATAGGATGGAGTCTTTTAATGTGGTCCATTAAATAACCACCTGGAAACCACCTAAATGTGCTAGCAACCCTATAGCAATGCACTAAAACACTTAAAAAAAAAACCTTAGTAGCTGCATGGCAACCATTCGCAAAATCCTAGCATCATGTTTTGCATAGAAAATTTTGATTCAGGCAAACACCATTTGTGTTTGTTTATAAAAATTTATAAAAAATGGAAATTAAGGCCAGTGAGAGACCTGGTTGAAAACAGTCAAACCATAATTAAACTGCTACAGTACAGTACAGTACAGTAGACACCAAAACCTTGTGCTGACATTGTGTGGCATGGTTTAAGCGGAAAACCTAGCAGTATTGAAAGGAAATTTTCATAATATTTGGGTCTTTAGCCTTAGGCATTGGCTGGAAATAAATCTTCGACAGGGATAAGAGTGCTATAAAACACAGTTAACTCCAAGTTCTCTCAGCTAAAAATTGTCTTTCTTTTTTTTGTCTTTTCTTTTATAACTGGGCTTTTGAACACATTCCCTGCCATCTGCCACCTGAGTAATAAGAATATGTTCATTCAACATCAACAAACTCAGCCCCTTGACCACATCTGTTACTGGATATCAGTCTCATAGATGTCCTTGGTTGTAATAGAGTAATTATATCAAACTGTATTGTCGTCACAGATTTACTGAATGTGATGGAAAAAAGAGCCAGTTACTGCAGGGAATTTTTTTTTTGCGTTTACTCAGCCAGAGGTGAATGACCAATTGGGAGGAAGACCTTTGGCACAGACTGTGAAATGGAACTAGAACAAGCTGCGTTTTTTGGAATTGGAGGCGTCCATTCATATTTACCTGGAAGAACATCTGTGTCTGCAATAGTTTCATGAAGTGACACTCTCGGGTCAAGAGAGAAAAAAAATATTTTTTTCCTTTTTCTGTAGCTAAGGATTACATAAGATAAATAGTGCAAAAACAGTTCATATACTGCAGACTGTCTTGGATTGTCTTTGTTTTGGACCAAAACTCCAACTGTCAGATGTTTTTAAAGATGAACTAAATCAAGTTTAAATTGAGTGGCTAAGAGCTAAGCTGTCTTGGTTTAAGTTAGTGATTTAAATTTATGAATCAAGTTCCCAGTGGAGTGCTGCTGAGATATTGTGTCTGTTGTCTGCTGTTCAACTGTATCATCAAATGGGCTTTGTGAAGCCAGGCAGAAATTTTTTTTGTTTGTTGTCTGCATGAAATCTGATTTTTGCAAACCATATTTACTTGTGGCTTGAAATCTGATTAAAATCAGATTGTGTTTCATGTCAGATTTCATGCCGGTTGGAATACAGCATGTCATGCACAATGCAGTTTAGCTGTGCCCACATTCACTCACTCACTTAACTACTGTATGTTGCGTTCAGTATGTAGTAAACTGTAAATGAATAAACAAGTAAGTGATTTTGGACACATTTACAAATGTGTAAAATACAGTAATTATGTAAATATTTTTATATATTTCGGGACGTTCCCGAGTC